GGGGAAATTCTTGGAAGAATTATGAAAAAATTGGGGGAAATTCTGAAAAAATTGGGGGAAAATTGAGGGGAAAAATTCAGGGGCAATTTGGAGAAAAATTGGGGAAAATTGGGGAAAAATCAAGAAAAATTCGGAGGAAGTTCGGGGGAAAATTCAGGGGAAATTTGGGAAAATTAGGGGAAATCTGGGAAAAAATTGAGAAAAAAATCAGGTGAAATTTGGGGAAGAAATGGGGAAAATTCAGGGAAAATTAGGGAAAACTGGGGAAATTTGGAAAAAATTGGGAAAACATAATGAAAAATTTGGGAGGACTGTGGGTGAAATTTGGGAAAAAATTGGGAAAAAATCAGGGGACAATTGGGGAAAATCCGGGGAAAATTCACGGGAAATTTGGGAAAAAACCTGAAAATAAATGAGAAAAATTCAGGGGAAATTTGGGAAAAATGAGGGAACGTTCAAGGAAAAGTAGGGAAAATTCTGAGAAAAATATCGGGAAAATCAGGACAAAATCAGAGAAAAATTGGGAAAAGCATGAGAGAAATTTCGGGAAATTCAGGAAAAAATTGGGGAAAAACATGGAAGAAATTGGGAAAAAATCAGGAAAAATTGGGAATAATGAGGAATATTTGGGGAACAGAGATAAAATATGAATTATTTTTATTTTTGGCAGCGTGGATAAGCGGCGCCGCGAGCAGCAGCAGCGCTGCCTGGCCGAGCCGCTCTGAATGGGGGAATATTTGGGATAAAGAAATAAATTATGAATAAATGATGAATTATTTATGAATTATTTTTATTTTTGGCAGCGTGGATAAGCGGCGCCGCGAGCAGCAGCAGCGCTGCCTGGCTGAGCCGCTCTCGGCCAACCCGGGCGAGCTCGACTCGCTCGGGGGCAAACCCGAGCAGGGGCACATCCTGAAAAAAACCGTGGACCAGATCCAGCAGATCAAGCGCCTCAAGCAGGGTGGGAAAATTGGGGAAAAACGGGGGGAAATAGGGGGAAAAGGGGGGGAAATACGGGGAAAATATGGGAGACATTTCGGGAGAATTTGGGGAAAAATCTGGGGAAAAATTCACAAAAAATTAGGGGAAAATACTGGGGAAAATGGGGGAGAAAGTTGGGGAAAGTCGGAGAAGAAAATGGGGGAAATAGAGGGAAAAATTGGGGGAAATTTGGGGAAAATTTAGGGGAAATTCAGGAAAATTTCAGGAAAAATTATGGCAAAATACTGGGAAAATTTGGGATAATTTAGGGGACATTTGGAGAAAATTAGTGGAAAATTCATGGGAAATTTAGGAAAAATTCAGGGAAAAATTTGGAATATTTTGGGGAAAATTTTGGGAAAATTCACAGAAAAATTTGGAACAACTGGGGAAAAATTGGAAAATTCGGGGAAAATGCAAGTAAAATTTAAAAGATTTGGGGAAAATGTAGGAAAATCTCAAGGAAAAATTGGGGAAATATTGGGGAAAATCAGGGAGAATTCAGGTGGAAATTTGGGGCAAAATTTGGGAGAAAGTTTTGGGAAAATTTAGGGCAAATTGCAGCAAATTTTGGGAAAAATGTAAGGAAAATTTGGGGACAACACAGGGAATATTGGGGAAAAATTGGGGGAAAATTTTGGAAAAAAGTTTGTGAAAATTTGGGGGGAAATTGGGAAAAATTTAGGGGAAAATTTGGGGTAAATTAATGGGAAAATTCATGGAAAAGTCAGGAAAAAATCTGTGAAAATCTTGGAAAATCCAGGGAAAATTGCAGAAAAAATCTGGAGAAAACAGGCAAAATTAATTTTAAAAAATGGGGGAAAATTTGTTTAAATCTTTTTTTCAATTTCCAGATTCATCTGCGCAAAGAGCAAAAAAAATTCCAGAATTAAACTCCAGAAAAAAACCAAAATTTGATTTTTTTTCTTATGGATTTAGGGTTGAAGAACAGAGAATTTCATTTTTTTTCCAGAATTAAACTAGACATAAAAACAAATTTCTTTTCTTTACATGGATTTGGGTTTAAAAAATTTGAAATTTCCCACTTTTTGGGGTTTTTTTTCAGAGAAAACGCCGGATGACGATGTGCAGAAATCCGACATCTCCTCCAGCAGCCAGGGCGTCATCGAGAAGGAGTCGCTGGGGCCGCTCCTGCTCGAGGTGGGATCGGAATTCCCGGAAAAATCCGGAATGGGGACGGGGAAAATGGGAATGAGCAAAATCTGGGGGTTTGGGGGGTTAATCCTGGGGTTTTATGGGGTTTTGGGGCTTTAATCCCAGGTTTTTATGGGGTTTTGGGGCTTTAATCCTGGGTTTTAGGGTTGGAATGTTGGGGTCTGGGGCTTTAATCCCAGGTTTTGGGGGTTTAATCCAGGTTTTTTATGGTGTTTTGGGCGTTTAATCCCAGGCTTTGATGGGGTTTTAATCCCAGGTTTTTATCTAGTTTTGGGGCTTTAATCCTGGGTTTTAGCGTTGGAATGTTTGTGGGGTTTGGGGCTTTAATCCCAGGTTTTGGGGTCTTAATCCCAGGTTTTTATGGTGTTTGGGGGCTTTAATTCTGGGGTTTAGGGTTGGAATGTTGGGATTTGGAGGTTTAATCCCAGGTTTTTATGGGGTTTTGGGACTTTAATTCTGGGTTTTAAGGTTGGAATGTTGGGATTTGGGGCTTCAATCCCAGGTTTTTGAGGGGTTTTAATTCCAGGTTTTAGGGTTTGAATTTTGTGATTTGGAGGTTTAATCCCAGGTTTTTATGGGGTTTTGGGGCTTTAATCCTGGGTTTTAGGTTTGGAATGTTGGGATTTGGGGATTCAATCCCAGGTTTTAGGGTCTTAATCCCAGGTTTTTATGGATTTTTGGGGCTTTAACACCAGGTTATTTTGGGGTTTGGGGAGGTTAATCCTGGGGTTTGGGGTCTTAATCCCAGGTTTTTATGCAGTTTTGGGGGTTTTAATCCTGGGTTTTTGTGGGTTTTGGGGCTTTAATCCCAGGTTTTTATGTAGTTTTGGGGCTTTAATCCTGAGGTTTAGAGTTTGGATTTTGGGATTTGGGGTTTTAATCCCGGGTTTTTATGGGGTTTGGGAGTTTTATTCCCAGGTTTTAGGGTCGGAATGTAGGAATTTGGGGCTTTAACCCCAGGCTTTAGGGTTTGGATTTTGGGATTTGGGGCTTTAAACCCAGGTTTTTATGGGGTTTTGGGGTATTAATCCCAGGTTTTTACAGGGCTTTAATCCCACATGTTTATGTAGTTTTGGGGGTTTAATCCCGGGTTTTAGAATTTGGGATTTGGGGCTTTAATCCCAGGTTTTTATGGGGTTTGGGAGCTTTAATCCTGGGGCTTAGGGTTTGGATTTTGGGGATTTAATCCCAGATTTTAGGGATTAGATTTTGGGATTTGGGGCTTCAGTCCCAGGTTTTTATGGGGTTGGAATGGAAGGAGGACTTTCCAGGAGCTGGGAGTTCCAAAGGAAAAGGGGTTGGGATTGGGACTAGGATTATGGTTGGGATTAGGATCAGGATCAGGACTAGGAATAATCAAAGTGGATCTTGGATCCCAACCGGAATCCTGGGATCTGAGAACCCAAATCCAGGAATGACCGAGGTGGATCTTGGATCCCAAGTGGAATCCTGGGATTCCCAGAGCAGGAATCCAGTCAAGCTTTGAGGGAACCTTCTCCACACTCATGGAGCCAAATCCATGGGAATAACCAAGGTGGATCTTGGATCCCAGCTGGAATCCTGGGATTTGAGGACCCAAATCTTTGGTCCCAACTGGAATCTTGGGATCTGAAGATCCAAATCCAGGAATGACCGAGGTGGATCTTGGATCCCAAATGGAATCCTGGAATTGCCAGAGCAGGAATCCAGCCAAGCTTTGAGGGAACCTTCTCCACACTCATGGAGCCAAATCCATGGGAATGACCAAGGTGGATCTTGGATCCTTGTTGGAATCCTGGGATTCCAGGAATAACCAAGGTGGAGCTTTGGTCCTGATTGGAATTTTGGGGTTTGAGGACCCAAATCCACGATCCCAGCTGGAATCCTGGAATTCCCAGAACAGGAATCCACCTAAACTTCTGTGGAATGTTCTCCACACTCAAGACCTCACCTAGATTTCCATGGAATCTTCTCCACACTCAAGGACCCAAATCCATGAATAACCAAGGTGGATCTTGGATCCCAAGTGGAATCCTGGAATTCCCAGGGGAATACTGGGAGCACTGGGGGATACTGGGAACACTGGGAGATATTGGGGGTTACTGGGAACACTGGGGGTTACTGGGAACACTGGGGGATATACTGGAGAACACTGGGGACACTGGGCATTACTGGGAACACTGGGAGATATTGGGGGTTACTGGGAACACTGGGGGTTACTGGGGGTAACTCGGAATACTGGGAGCCACTGGGAGATACTGGGAGTTACTGGGGCGGCACATGGGGGTTACTGGGAGCACCGGGAACACTGAGAGTGACTGGGAACACTGAGGGAGACTGGGGGTTACTGGGAGCACTGGGAGATCCTGAAGTGCTCCCAGTAACCCCAGAGACACCATTAATCCCCAGCGACTGCCAGTGCTCCCAGTAACTCCCAGTAATTCCCAGTAACCCCCAGTCTCTCCCAGTATTCCCTGTCCCTTCCCATTTCTGCTCCCCATTGGTTCATCCAGCTGTCAATCACATCATCGCCCCTCCCCCCAACCCCCCACCGCAGCGCGCCAAAGCCGATTGGCCGCTCCGTCCAAGAAGCCCCCGCCTTCCCCAGGCATCTAGGCCCGCTGATTGGCTCAGCTCCTCCCGCTCTGCGCGCTGATTGGCCCGTTCGCGTCCACGCGCCGGAGGCCTCCTCCCGCCCTTTCCTCCCCGCCTTCTCCTCTCCCATTGCTCTCGCGCGCTGTCAATCCCCACTAATCTCCGCCCTCCCCCTTCCATTGGTTCTCCACAACGTCAATCATGCGCCGCGGGGCGGCGCGGGGGCGGGAGCAGCACGCCGTGCCCATCGTGAGGGGGACGCGGCCGCCATGGCGGCGCCCGAGGTGGCGGCGGCGCTCGGGAGCGGCCCCGGGCCGAGCGGAGCGGAGCTGCCCGAGCCGCTGGGGCTGCTGGAGCTCTGCGGGGCCTGCAGGCAGCGGCTGAGCCCGCAGCGGAAACCGAGACTGCTGCCGTGCCTGCACTCCGTGTGCCGGGGCTGCATCGGCAGCGAGCCTGGGGACAAGAACGGTGAGGGGATACTGGGAGCACTGGGGGATACTGAGGGATACTGGGAGATACTGGGAGCACTGGGAACCGAGACTGCTGCCGTGCCTGCGCTCCGTGTGCCGGGGCTGCATCGGGAACGAGCACGGGGACAAGAACGGTGAGGGGATACTGGGAGTCAGTGGGGATACTGGGGGATACTGGGAACACTGGGAGATACTGGGAGCCACTGGGAGATACTGGGGGTTACTGGGACCACTGGGAGCACTGTGGGTTACTGGGAGCACTGGGAGATACTGGGACCACTGAGGGTTACTGGGAACAGTGGGAGCAGTGGGGGTTACTGGGAGATACTGGGAGTTACGGGAGCACTGGGGGATACTGGGATCACTGGTGATTACTGGGGGTTACTGGGAACACTGGGAGATACTGGGGGTTACTGGAAACATATGGAGAGCCTGGGAACACTGGGGATACTGGGAGGTATTGGGGGTCACTGGGAGCACTGGAAGCATTGGGAGCTACTGGGAGATGCTGGGGGATACTGGGAGCACTGGAAGATACTGGGGGTTACTGGGAACACATGGAGAGCCTGGGAACACTGGGGGTTACTGGGAACACTCAGGGTCACTGGGAGATACTGGGGGTTACTGGGAACACTCAGGGTCACTGGGAGCATTGGGAGAGACTGGGAGACCTTGGGGGATACTGGGAGAGCCTGGGAACACTGGGGGTTATTTGGGTTACTGGGAGCACTGGGAGATACTGGGAGAGATTGGGAACACTGGGAGACACTGGGGGTTACTGGGAGACACTGGGGGTTACTGATGGTTACTGGGGATGCTGGGTCTTACTGAGAGCACTGGGGGTTACTGGGAGCCACTGGGAGCTACTGGGAGATTGCCCTGTCCCCTCCTTGGGGACACCAACCCCGCTGTGACATTGTCCCCTCCCTGGGGACAGCGTTTTCCCCTGTCCCTCCCTGAGGTGACCTTGGTGTCCCTGGTGGCAGTAGAGGTGACAGGGAGGTGACAGTGGAGGTGACAAGGAAAGTGACAAGGAGGGGACAAGGACACCATGGGATGACTGTCCCATTTGTGTCCCCTCTGTGTCCCCTGTGTGTCCCCTGTGTGTCCCCTCCCTGTCCCTTCCATGTCCCCTCCGTGTCCCCTCCCTGTCCCTGTGTGTCCCCTGTGTGTCCCCTCCCTGTCCCTCTGTGTCCCCTCTGTGTCCCCTTCGTGTCCCTTCCCTGTCCCTGTGTGTGTCCCCTCTGTGTCCCCTGTGTGTCCCCTCCGTGTCCCCTCCCTGTCCCTGTGTGTCCCCTCTGTGTCCCCTCTGTGTCCCCTCTGTGTCCCCTCCCTGTCCCTGTGTGTCCCCTGTGTGTCCCCTCTGTGTCCCCTGTGTGTCCCCTGTGTGTCCCCTCTGTGTCCCCTCTGTGTCCCCTCTGTGTCCCCTCCCTGTCCCTGTGTGTCCCCTGTGTGTCCCCTCTGTGTCCCCTGTGTGTCCCCTCCCTGTCCCTTCCATGTCCCCTCCGTGTCCCCTCCCTGTCCCTGTGTGTCCCCTGTGTGTCCCCTCCCTGTCCCTCTGTGTCCCCTCTGTGTCCCCTTCGTGTCCCTTCCCTGTCCCTGTGTGTGTCCCCTCTGTGTCCCCTGTGTGTCCCCTCCGTGTCCCCTCCCTGTCCCTGTGTGTCCCCTGTGTGTCCCCTCTGTGTCCCCTCTGTGTCCCCTCCCTGTCCCTGTGTGTCCCCTGTGTGTCCCCTCTGTGTCCCCTGTGTGTCCCCTCCCTGTCCCTTCCATGTCCCCTCCGTGTCCCCTCCCTGTCCCTCTGTGTCCCCTGTGTGTCCCCTCCCTGTCCCCTCCCTGTCCCTCTGTGTCCCCTGTGTGTCCCCTCCGTGTCCCCTCCCTGTCCCCTGTGTGTCCCCTCCCTGTCCCCTCCCTGTCCTTGTCTGTCCCCTCTGTGTCCCTGTGTGTCCCTCTGTGTCCCCTCTGTGTCCCCTCTGTGTCCCCTTCGTGTCCCTTCCCTGTCCCTGTGTGTGTCCCCTGTGTGTCCCCTGTGTGTCCCCTCCCTGTCCCTGTGTGTCCCCTGTGTGTCCCCTGTGTGTCCCCTGTGTGTCCCCTCCCTGTCCCCTGTGTGTCCCCTGTGTGTCCCCTCCCTGTCCCTGTGTGTCCCCTGTGTGTCCCCTGTGTGTCCCCTCCCTGTCCCTGTGTGTCCCCTGTGTGTCCCCTCCCTGTCCCCTCCCTGTCCCCTCTGTGTTCCTTCCCTGTCCCCTCCGTGTCCCCTCCCTGTCCCCTCCGTGTCCCCTTCCTGTCCCCTGTGTGTGTCCCCTGTGTGTCTCCTGTGTGTCCCCTGTGTGTCCCCTCCCTGTCCCCTGTGTGTCCCCTCCCTGTCCCCTGTGTGTCCCCTGTGTGTCCCCTCCCTGTCCCCTCCCTGTCCCCTCCCTGTCCCTGTGTGTCCCCTGTGTGTCCCCTTCCTGTCCCCTGTGTGTCCCCTCCCTGTCCCCTCCCTGTCCCCTGTGTGTCCCCTCCCTGTCCCCTGTGTGTCCCCTCCGTGTCCTCTCTGTGTCCCCTCAGCGTTCGAGTGCCCCGTGTGCCACCAGCAGTGTCCCCTGGGTGACATCATGGACAGCCTGTTCCTGCAGCCCAGCGCCAGCAGCCAGGTACGGCCTCGTTAACACTAATAATTAATTAATGAATTAATTAACGCTAATTAACCCTGGTGGTTAATGAACTGTTCCTTGTCCCCAGAGCTGCACCAGCTGCGAGGACAACGCCAGCGCCACCAGCTTCTGCTTGGAGTGCTCGGAGCCGCTGTGTGCCACCTGCGTGGGGCTCACCTGAGGGTCAGGTACAGCCGGGAGCACCGAGTGCAGCCCCTGCGTGGGTGTCACCTCATTGTCACCTCATTGCCACCTCCCTGAGTCACTGTGTCACCTCCCTGTGTCACTGTGTCACCCTGTCCCGTCCCCATGGCTGTGTGCCACCTGCGTGGGGCTCACCTGAGGGTCAGGTACAGCCGGGAGCACCGAGTGCAGCCCCTGCGTGGGTGATGGCACCTGTGTCACCTCCCTGTGTCACCTCCCTGTGTCACCTTCCTGTGTCACCTCCCTGTGTCACCTTCCTGTGTCATCTTCCTGTGTCACACCTGTGTCACACCTGTGTCACTGTGTCGTCCCCTGCCTGTGCCCGTTACAAGGTGCTGACTGTGTCAGTAGGTCCATCTTGATGCCATTCCTGGTGCCACCCCATTCCCATTCCCATTCCCACTGTCCCGTTCCCATTCCCCCATTCCCAATTTTCCCCGTTGCCATTTTCCTGTTTCCAGTTTCCCCCGTTCTCCCGTTGCCCCATTCCAAATTTCCCCCATTTCCGTTCCTATCCCCCCATTCCCCCACTCCCATCCCCCCATTCCCTCATTCCCCCATTCCCTCATTCCCCCATTCCCATTCCCCCATTCCCATCCCCCCATTTCCATTCCCCCATTTCCATTCCCCCATTCCCATTTCCCCATTCCCATTCCCCCATTCCCCCATTCCCATTCCCCCATTCCCATCCCCCCATTTCCATTCCCCCATTCCCATCCCCCCATTCCCATTCCCTATTCCCATTCCCCCATTCCCATTCCCCCATTCCCCTTCCCCCATCCCCATTCCCATCCCCCCATTCCCCCATTCCCCCATTCCCATTCCCCCATTCCCATTCCCCCATTCCCATTCCCATTCCCCCATTCCCCCATTCCCCCATTCCCATTCCCGTTCCCCCATTCCCATTCCCCCATTCCCCCATTCCCATTCCCATTCCCATTCCCCCATTCCCATTCCCCCATTCCCCCATTCCCATTCCCATTCCCCCATTCCCCCATTCCCATTCCCCCATTCCCATTCCCGTTCCCCCATTCCCCCATTCCCATCCCCATTCCCATTCCCATTCCCCCATTCCCATTCCCCCATTCCCATTCCCGTTCCCCCATTCCCCCATTCCCATCCCCATTCCCATTCCCATTCCCCCATTCCCATTCCCCCATTCCCCCATTCCCATTCCCCCATTCCCATTCCCCCATTCCCATTCCCATTCCCATATTCCCATTCCCCCATTCCCCCATTCCCATTCCCCCATTCCCCCATTCCCATTCCCCCATTCCCATTCCCCCATTCCCCATTCCCATTCCCCCATTCCCCCATTCCCATTCCCCCATTCCCATTCCCCCATCCCCATCCCCATCCCCATTCCCATTCCCCCATTCCCATCTCCATTCCCGTTCCCATTCCCATTCCCCCATTCCCCCATTCCCATTCCCCCATTCCCATTCCCCCATTCCCATTCCCATTCCCATTCCCCCATTCCCCATTCCCATTCCCCCATTCCCCCATTCCCATTCCCCCATTCCCATTCCCCCATTCCCCCATTCCCATTCCCCCATTCCCATTCCCCCATTCCCATTCCCCCATTCCCATTCCCCCATTCCCATTCCCATTCCCATTCCCCCATTCCCCATTCCCATTCCCCCATTCCCCCATTCCCATTCCCATTCCCCCATTCCCCCATTCCCCCATTCCCATTCCCCCATTCCCATCTCCATTCCCGTTCCCATTCCCCCATTCCTATTCCCCCATTCCCATTCCCCCATTCCCATTCCCAATCCCATTCCCCTCCCCCATTCCCATTCCCAATCCCCCATTCCCAATGGGAATGGGAATGGGTAAAACTGGGAAATTGGCAATGGGAGAATGGGAAGATGGAATGGAAATGGGGATGGGAAAATGGGACAATGGAAATGGGAAAACACAGGAATGGGAATGGGAACAGCGGAACAGGGGAACATGGGAATGGGATTGGGAAAATGGGAAATGCAATGGGAATGTGGATGGGGATGAGGGAATGGGGATGGGGATGAGGGAATGGGGGAATGGGAATGGGGTATGGGGAAAACTGGGAATAGGACCAAGGGAATTCCCATTCCCCTTCCCATTCCCCCATTCCCAGTTGGAATGGGGAAAGATGGGTAATTGGAAATGGAGGAATGGGGAAAACTCTGAATGGGGGATGGAAGTGGGAATGGGGAAAGGGGAGAATGGGATTGGGAACATGCGAACAAAGGCGATGAGATTTGGAATATGGGAATTGGAATGGGGGAATGGGATTGGGAAAATGGGATTTGGAATGGGGGAAACTGGGAACATGGAATGGGAGAATGGGAATGGGGGAATCTGGGAACTGGAACGTGGCAATGGGGAAAGGGGAATATGGGAACGGGGGAATGGGAAAATGGGAGAATTGGGAAAGGGAACATGGGAACAAGGGAATGAGAATGGAGATGGGAAAATGAGAATAGAAACGGAGGAATGGGAATGAGGGAAATTGGCAATGGGAAAATTGGGATGGGAGCAGCAGTGGAGAAAATTGGAATGGGGGAATGGGGGAAACTGGGAATGGGAACAGGAACATGGGAACAGGGGATTGGGAATATGGGAATTGGAATGGGAACACGGCAATGGGGGAATGCACATGGGAATGGGGGAAACTGGGAACATGGAATGGGAGATTGGGAATGGGAACGAGAACATGGAAACGAGGAAATGGGATTGGGAATATGGGAATTGGAATGGGAACAGGAACATGGGAACAGGGGAATGGGATTGGGAATATGGGAATTGGAATGGGAATATGGGAATGGGAATGAGTGAATTGGCAATGGCGGAATGGGAGTGGGAATGGGAATTATGAATTTAGGTTATGATAATCATAATATAATTATAAAAAGTGAATAAAATATATTTTGATTGTATTATAATAAATAAAAATATATATAATATTCTATATTCTCATACTACTTTTAATTATATACTATATAATGCAATTTTCATATATCATATAAATAGTTATAAATAAATATAAATAATTATTAAAAAGTATAATATAAATCATCAGTAAGCATAAATAATTATAAATCAAATTATATATAATATAAATAGTTATAAATAAATATAAATAATTATAAATAAAATGATATGTAATTATAAATAGATAATGATAGATAAACAATAATGATAAATAACTAATAATTTTCAGTAAATGTTTGTCCCTTCGGTGTCCCCAGCGTGTGACCGAGGGCTGCCGGCATTATATATAATATAAATAACTATAAATAAATAGAAATTATTATAAATTAAATTATATATAATTATAAATAAATTATGATAAATAACTAATAAGTAATGATAAATAAATTACAATTTTCAATAAATGTTTGTCCCTTTGGTGTCCCCAGCGTGTGACCAAGGGCTGCCGCCAGTGCCTGGAGCAGCATTATATATAATATAAATAACTATAAATAAATATAAATAATTATAAGTAAAATTTTATATAATTATAAATGAATAATATAAATAACTAATAAATAATGATAAATAAATGATAGTTTCAAATAAATTATGGTCCCTTTGGTGTCCCCAGCGTGTGACCGAGGGCTGCCAGCCGCGCCTGGAACAGCATTATGTATAATATAAATAACTATAAATAAATATAAATAATTATAAATAACTCTAAATAATTATAAATAATTACAAATCCAATGATATATAATTCTAAATAAATAATGATAAATAAATGACAATTTTCAGTAAATTCTTGTCCCTTTCCTGTCCCCAGCGTGTGACCGAGGGCCACCAGCAGCGCCTGGAGCAGCGTTATATATAATATAAGTAACTATAAATAAATATAATAATTATAAATAGAATGATATATAATTAGAAATAAATACTGCTAAGTAAAAATTATATGTAATTAGAAATAAATAATATAAATAACTACTAAATAATGATAAATAGACGATAATTTTCAGTAAATTCTTGTCCCTTTGGTGTCCCCAGCGTGTGACCGAGGGCCGCCGGCAGCGCCTGGAGCAGCATTATATATAAAATGAACAACTATAAATAAATATAGTAATTATTAATAAAATTATATGTAATTTTAAATAAATAATGATATATAACTAATAAATAATGGTAAATAAACAATAATGATAAATAAACAATAAATTTCAATAAATGCTTGTCCCTGGTGTCCCCAGCGTGTGACCGAGGGCTGCCAGCAGCGCCTGGAGCAGCATTATATATAATATAAGTAGCTATAAATAAATATAAATAATACTAAATAAAAAGTATCTATTACTATAAATAAATAAATGACAGTTTTCAGTAAATTCTTGTCCCTTTCCTGTCCCCAGCGTGTGACCGAGGGCCGCCGGCAGCGTTTGGAGCGGCAGCGCCGGGAGCTGAGCCGGCTGCGGCGGCTGCAGGAGCGCGCGCTGCGCTTCGGGAAACGGGCCCTGCACGGGCGGCACGGCAGCGCCCTGCTGCTGTCCCGGAGGCTGGTGAGACCCCAAAAACCCCAAATTGTACCCCAAAATGTGTCCCCAGGTGGAGGCCCAGCTGCTCGGGGCCCTGGGGGTGTCAATGTCCCCACTGTCCCCAGTGTCCCCACTGTCCCCAATGTGTCCCCAATGTCCCCAATGCCCCCAGGTGGAGGCCCAGCTGCTCGGGGCCCTGGGGGTGTCGGTGTCCCCAGTGTCCCCAGTGTGTCCCCAATGTGTCCCCAGGTGCAGGCCCAGCTGCTCGGGGCCCTGGGGGTGTCAGTGTCCCCAGTGTCCCCAGTGTCCCCAATGTCCCCAATGTGTCCCCAGGTGCAGGCCCAGCTGCTCGGGGCCCTGGGGGTGTCAGTGTCCCCAGTGTCCCCAGTGTCCCCAATGTCCCCAATGTGTCCCCAGGTGCAGGCCCAGCTGCTCGGGGCCCTGGGGGTGCCCCTGGAGCCCCCCGAGCCTCAGGGGGAGCTGAAATTCCAATGGGACCGGCAGGGATGGACACGGAGCGCCCGGAGCTTCGGTGAGGGACATGGGGACATGGGGACACTGGGGACACTGGGGACACTGGGGACACCGGGGGGACACTGGGGAATGGGAACACAAGGGACAGGGGCACGGGGTGACAAAGGACGGGAGGGCTGAGGGTGGCGGTGACAGAGGGACCCAGGGAGAGGGGGCAGGGGACAGAGGATGGCATGGAGGGGGTGACAAGTGACAGGGGGTGGCAGGGAGGAGGTGACAATGACACGGGGGGTGACAGTGACAAGGGGGGGTGGCAGTGACACGGGGAGGCGGTGACAGTGACACAGAGGGAGGTGACAGTGACACAGGGGGTGCCACGTGGCCCCGGTGTCCCTGACCCCTCCCCCCCCCAGGTGCCATCGTCTCGGAGCCGCCCCTCCCCCCCTCGCGGAGCCCCCCCCGCGGCCCCTCCCCCACCAAGCAGGTAATGGGGGACACTGGGGGTGCCACCCCCCCCACAATGTCCCCATCCCCCCCACGGTGTCCCCACCCCTCTGTGGTTGTCCCCAAACCCCCCACGGTGTCCCCACCCCTCTGTGATTGTCCCCAATGTCCCCACCCCTCCCTGATGTCCCCACAGGTGCCCTGGTGACATTCTGGGGGTGCCACCCCCTGTGACTGTCCCCACCCCTCTGTGATTGTCCCCAATGTCCCCACCCCTCCCTGATGTCCCCACAGGTGCCCTGGTGACATTCTGGGGGTGCCACCCCCTGTGACTGTCCCCAGCCCCCTGTGATCGTCCCCAATGTCCCCAACCCCTCCTCAATGTCCCCACAGGTACCTGGGTGACATTCTGGGGTGCCACCCCCTTGTGACTGTCCCCACCCCCTCTATGGTGTCCCCAAGCCCCGGTGATGTCCCCACCCCTTCCCCGATGTCCCCACCGGTACCCTGGTGACATTCTGGGGGTGCCACCCCCCTGTGATGTCCCCTCAGGTGCCCTGGTGACATTCCGGGGGTGCCACCCCCTGTGATTGTCCCCAATGTCCCCAACCCCACCCCGATGTCCCCACAGGTACCTGGGGTGACATTCTGGGGGTGCCACCCCCTGTGACTGTCCCCAGCCCCCTGTGATTGTCCCCAATGTCCCCAACCCCTCCTCAATGTCCCCACAGGTACCTGGGTGACCTTCTGGGGTGCCACCTCTCATGGTGTCCCCAATGTTCCCACCCCCCCTGTGATGTCCCCACAGGTACCTGGTGACATTCCAGGGGTGCCGCCCCGTTTGTGACTGTCCCCACCCGTCCCTGATGTACCCTGGTGACATTCTGGGGGTGCCACCCCCCTGATGTCCCCAATGTCCCCACCCCTCCCTGATGTCCCCACAGGTACCTGGATGACATTCCGGGGGTGCCACCCCCCCGTGATGTCCCCAATGTCCCCACAGGTACCTGGGTGACATTCTGGGGTGCCACCCCCTGCTGTCCCCACAGGTACCTGGGTGACATTCTGGGGTGCCACCCCCTGCTGTCCCCACAGGTACCTTGGTGACATTCTGGGGTGCCACCCCCTGATGTCCCCTCCCTGTGGTGTCCCCGCGCCCCCGGTGGCCCCGGAGCTGCTCCTGCAGGGCCCCCCCCAGATGTCACCTCCCCCCCGGATGTCACCTCCCCCCCAGGTGTCACCTCCCCCCCTGGAGCCCGCGGCCACCCCCAGCCCACAGCGCGGTGAGGGGACACAGGGGACAGGGGACATGGGGACAGGGGAGAGGGGAGAGGGGACATGGGGAGGGGACAGGGATGGGGACACGGGACAGGGACGGGGGGACAGAGGGACCGGGAATGGGGACGGGATGGGGACACGGGGACAGGGGAGGGGACAGGGGATGGGGGCACATGGGGAGGGGACATGGGGAGGGGACATGGGGAGGGGGATAGGGGACATGGTGACACTGGGATGGGGACAGGGGAGGGGGATATGGGACAGGGGAGGGGACACGGGGACGGGACAGGGACAGGGGAGGGGACATGGAGGGGACACAGGGATGGGGACAGGGGAGGGGTCGCAGGGAGGGGGACACAGGGGACAGGGGATGGGGACACAGACAGGAGAGGGGACACAGGGAGGGGGCGTGGGACAGGGGATGGGGACATGGGACACGGGACACGGGACAGGGGACAGGGCAGAGGACGTGAGGAGGGGGACATGGGGAAGGGGACAGGTGACGGGACATGGGGACACATGGGGACATGGGAGGGGACACGGGGGGACATGGGAACAGGGGAGGGGGACACTGGGAGGGACACAGGAGGTGACACGTGAAGGGACAGGGGACAGGGACACAGGTGGGGACATGGGAGTGGGACACGGGAGGGGGACACATGATGGAGGACATGGAGACAGGGACATGGGGACAGGGACATGGGACAGGGACAGGGACAGGGGGACAGGGATAGGGGGACATGGGGACAGGGACACAGGGACAGGGACGGGGGGAAAGGGACACAGGGATAGGGGGACATGGGGACAGGGACATGGGACAGGGACAGGGACAGGGGGACAGGGATAGGGGGACATGGGGACAGGGACACAGGGACAGGGACAGGGACAGGGATGGGGGGACAGGGATAGGGGGACATGGGGACAGGGACACAGGGACAGGGACAGGGACAGGGATGGGGGGACAGGGATAGGGGGACATGGGGACAGGGACATGGGACAGCAGAGAGGACACAGGAGGGAACATGGGATGGGAATGGGGAGGGGACACGGGGACACGGGATGGGGACAGGGACAGGGGAGGGGACAAGGGGACAGGAGAGGGGACATGGGGAGACAGGGAAGGGGGACATGGGAGGGGACAGGGGAGGGGACACAGGGAAGGGACATGGGGACAGGGACGCAGGGATGGGGACACAGGTGAGGGGACATGGGGACACGGGATGGGGACAGGGAGGGGACATGGGGACAGGGACACAGGAGGGGACAGGGGAGGGACATGGAAGGGGGACAGGGGAGGGGACGGGACAGGGGGACAGGGGAGGGGATGGGGACAGAGGGAGGGGACACAGGGAGGGGACATGGGGACACAGGTTGGGGACAGGGGAGGGGACCCTGGGTCAGTCCCTGACTGGCACTTGTCCCCAGCCACCAGCCCTGAGGACGGCGTCACCGCAGGGAGCGCGAGTGGGGACGGGGGGGCAGTGTCCCTTGTCACCCCCTGTCCCTTGTCACCCCCTGTCCCTTGTCACTGCCACCCCTGGGACCCTCTGTCCCTTGTCACCCCCCTGGGACCCTCTGTCCCTTGTCACCCCCTGCTGCCATTCCCTGTCCCTTGTCACTGCCACCCCTGGGACCCACCCTGTCCTTTGTCACCACCATCCTGGTCCCTCCTGTCCCTTGTCACCACCCCCTGCCACCCCTGGGACCCCTGGGACCCCCTGTCCCTTGTCACCGTCGTGCTGGCTCCTGTCCCAGGGTGACATCTGGGGCTGTCCCCTGTCCCTGATGCCACTGTCCCTGTCCCTGTCCCTGGTGCCATCTGTCCCTGTCCCTGGTGCCATCTGTCCCTGTCCCTGATGCCACTGTCCCTGTCCCTGGTGCCATCTGTCCCTGTCCCTGGTGCCATCTGTCCCTGTCCCTGATGCCACTGTCCCTGTCCCTGTCCCTGTTCCTGTCCCCTGTCCCCTGTCCCTGTCCCTGATGCCACTGTCCCTGTCCCTGTCCCTGGTGCCATCTGTCCCTGTCCCTGGTGCCATCTGTCCCTGTCCCTGTCCCTGATGCCACTGTCCCTGTCCCTGTCCCTGGTGCCATCTGTCCCTGTCCCTGGTGCCATCTGTCCCTGTCCCTGTCCCTGATGCCACTGTCCCTGTCCCTGTCCCTGGTGCCATCTGTCCCTGTCCCCTGATGCCATCTGTTCCTGTCCCTGTCCCCTGTCCCTGGTGCCATCTGTCCCTGTCCATGTCCCTGTTCCTGTCCCCTGTCCCCTGTCCCTGTCCCTGATGCCACTGTCCCTGTCCCTGTCCCTGATGCCATCTGTCCCTGTCCCTGTCCCTGGTGCCATCTGTCCCTGTCCCCTGATGCCATCTGTCCCTGTCCCTGATGCCACTGTCCCTGTCCCTGTCCCTGGTGCCATCTGTCCCTGTCCCCTGATGCCATCTGTCCCTGTTCCTGTCCCTGTCCCTGATGCCATCTGTCCCTGTCCCCTGTCCCTGTCCCTGATGCCATCTGTCCCTGTCCCTGATGCCATCTGTCCCTGTCCCTTGTCCCTGTCCCTGTTCCTGTCCCCTGTCCCCTGTCCCCTGTCCCTGTCCCTGATGCCATCTGTCCCTGTCCCTGTCCCCTGTCCCTGTCCCTGATGCCATCTGTCCCTGTCCCTGTCCCTGGTGCCATCTGTCCCTGTCCATGTTCCTGTTCCTGTCCCCTGTCCCCTGTCTCTGTCCCTGATGCCATCTGTCCCTGTCCCTGTCCCTGATGCCATCTGTCCCTGTCTCTGTCCCTGTCCCTGATGCCATCTGTCCCTGTCCCTGATGCCGTCTGTCCCTGTCCCTGTCCCTGATGCCATCTGTCCCTGTCCCTGTCCCTGTCGCCACCTGTCCCTGTCCCTGTCGCCACCTGTCCCTGTCCCTGTCCCTGATGCCATCTGTCCCTGTCCCTGTCCCTGTCCCTGTCGCCACCTGTCCCTGTCCCTGTCCCTGATGCCATCTGTCCCTGTCCCCACAGGAGGGTCCCCGGCCGTTCCCCCCGGGAGGAGAAGCTCGTTAAGAAGCTGCTCGTTAAACGGTAACGGGGGGGGAGGGGAGGGGACCCTGCCACCCTGCCACCCCCTGTCCCTTGTCACCTGTCACCCTGTGATCCCTGTGTCCCTTTGTCACCTCACCTGTCACCCTGGCCAGCGCCACCTGCAGCCCCTCCCGTCCTGTCCCTTGGCCAGGATGTCCCTGTCCCCTGTCCCCTGTCCTGGGGTCCCCCTGTGCCAGGACCCCCTGTCCCTGTCCCTGTCCCCTGTCCCCAACCTTCCCCAGCCTTGTCACTGTCCCTAGTCCCCAACCTTGTCACTGTCCCTGTCCCCAACCTTGTCACTGTCCCTTGTCCTCTGTCCCTGACCCCTGTCACTGTCCCTTGTCTGCCTGTCCCCAACCCCTGACCCTGTCCCTTGTCCCCAGCACCCCAACCCTTGTCGCTGTCCCTTGTCCCCAACCCTCCCCAGCCTTGTCACTGTCCCTGTTCCCTGTCCCTGAGCCTTGTCCCTGTTCCCCTGTCCCTGAGCCTTGTCACTGTCCCTGTCCCTGAGCCTTGTCACTGTCTCTGTCCCCTGTCCCTGAGCCTTGTCCCTGTCCCCTGTCACTGTCCCTGTCCCCCTGTCCCTGAGCCTTGTCCCTGTCCCTGTCCCTGAGCCTTGTCACTGTCCCTGTCCCCTGTCCCTGTCCCTGAGCCTTGTCCCTGTCCCTGTCCCCTGTCCCTGAGCCTTGTCCCTGTCCCCTGTCCCCAACCCTTGTCCCTGTCCCTGTCCCCTGTCCCTGTCCCCCTGTCCCAGAGCTCCCAGGACCCCCAGCCCCCCCAGTCTCCTGGGTTCCCCCCCAGAGCTTTGGGGTCCCCGTGTGACCCCATTCTCCCCCAGGGGGGCCCCCAGGGGTTTTGGGGTCCCCGTGTGTCCCCAGTGTCCCCCAGGATCCCCCTCAGAGGTTTTGGTGCCCCCAGGTGACCCTGCTGTCCCCAGGAGGGGCTCCCAGGGTTTTGGGGTCCCCGTGTGTCCCCACTATCTCCCAGGGTCCCTCCCCTGAGGTTTGGGGTCCCCATCTGACCCCATTATCCCCACAGGAGGGGCCCCCCCTCGGTGTGGGGCAGCCCCCCGGGTTTTGGGGTGCCCTGGTGACATTGGTGTCCCACAGAAGGGGCTCCCAGGGGTTTTGGGGTGCCCTGGTGACCCCGGTGTCCCCACAGCAGGGGCCCTGTGCTCCCCAAGCAGCCCCGGGTGAGCCTGGAGCGCCTGGAGCTGGACCCGGAGCTGGACCCGGCGCAGCCGCCCGTGTTCCGCGTCTTCCCCGGGCCCTCGGCGCGCGAGTTCAGCCTCATCGTCATCGGGCAGGGCACGCCGGGGACAGCGGGGACCGCGGGGACAGCTGGCACTGAGGGGACACAGGGGACACAAGGGACGGCGGGGACGGTGCAGCCGCACGGAGCGCTGCTGGTCAAGGTGAGCGACACCTGTGTCCCCTCCCCTGTGTCCCCTCCCCCCCCAGGTGAGCGTCCCCCATGTCCCATCCCCTGTGTCCCCATCCCAATGAGTGTCCCCAGTGTCCCCCCCCCCAGTGCACGCTGTCCCCTCCCCCCCAGGTGAGCGTCCCCCATGTCCCCATCTCCTTTGTCCCCATCGTCCCTCCCCATCCCCATAGTCCCCATCCCCTACGTCCCCTGTCCCCATCCCCATTGTCA